TCTAACAATGTATATCAAATTATTCATTACCCTCCCTTATGTGCAAACCCATCTTGTTCGTGGTGATGCAAACAAACATAAATAGAGAGATTTTTTTAGTGCAATCAAGAGAAGAAAGAATGAAAACAGGAATCAAAGAGACTTGAACCTCTGACCTCCCCCAACCTGACACTGACATCAAGTTAAGTCATCAATTGTGCCAAAAGCTTAAGTTGTTAGGGAATGGGCCTAACAATATATATCAAACCATCCTTGCAAATCTCATTTTCTTATGAAATCTTTAGGCTTTGTTTGGATCATGAATTTGGGTACAGATTGGGAAAAAGAAAGGGAAATGGAGAAAAAATTTAGCTTTTATTTCATTAACATTTCATCCACTTTTTCCCCTATTCCAAATCTTGCTTATATTTCATTCACATTTCACTCACATTTTCCTTTCAATTTCAAATCCATGATCCCAAAGACAGCCTCACAGATTATAAGAAATATCACTGTATAACCAAAAAAAACCAAAAATAAAAAATAAAATAAATTTTTTGGTACAAAATTAATAATTTGCTAAAATGAAACAAGAAGAATAGGAGAAGGAAATTGGAACCTTTGGGTGAGCAGTGTAACGCCCGCAAAAAATAATACATATTAACCCACATTCTTGACATACATAGACATAAGAGAATAAAGCATATTTCTATTTAAATAGAAATTAAAACATATTGGTTAAAGTTGGTTTTCATTCCTTTTGAACTTCTACAACCTTTCAGTTTTGAAAACCAATTACAACCTTTAAAAGGTTATGGTCCCTATTCCTTCCCAAGTGAAAATAAGAACACTGCCATTTTTTTCTAAATCCTCTCAAGGAGAAACATAAGGCACCAAAGGGGAAAGGATTAGAAGGCAATAACATAATCAACAACAAAGAGTTCATTGATAATCACGCTTCCGTTTAACCGTTCATCAATGGATTCAGGTATGTCATTTTGTCTTGATTTCTTGATAATACACATGGTAAATGATCCAAAGTGTAAGGTTTATGTTCTGAAATTTATGTTTACAATATATACCAATAAACACATTGATTATACATTTTAAATTCATTTATCAAATTACATGAAAAACATATTTTGTGGGAAAAAAAAAAAAAAAAAAAATTGAAGCTTGAATGTTTCCTCCATGTTGCTTTGGACTTTAAGAAAGGCTATAGCTGAGGGTTGTATAAAATGTCTTTTAGGCCCTAAGAACTAAGTGGAATTGGGAGTAAGGGCAGCCACAGAAGGATGAGAATCCTGTACTCTGAATTCTGCTTCGAGAGAGCATGCCATAGCATGCATATTGCTATGATTATGATTGCAATCTTAATTACATATATGAGGGATCTGTACCAAGAGCTGTTATGGTAGTGCACTTTGTTATACAGGATTATAGTCATTGGAATTTATCCATTAATTCATTATGGGTATTTCACCATTTATTAAAATATTTATGCTATGGATTTGAGCAGCCTCATTATTTAGTCTAGTTTTGTCGCTGTATGAGCCTAATGCCATTTGATGTACATATGCAACAGAGGATCACCATTCCTGAGATAAGGAACCACGAGTGGTTCTAAAGAACCTCCCTGCAGACCTCATGGACGAAAAGACAATGAGCAACCAGTATGAAGAGCCTGATCAACCCATGCAGAGCATTGATGCAATCATGCAAATAATTTCCGAGGCTACCATGCTGCCAGTTGGCCTGTACGATCTAGACCTGAACATGGATGATGACATGGAAGATTTGGACTCAGATCCTGATCTTGATATCGACAGCAGTGGAGAGGTCATCTATGCAGTCTGATTACAATTTCTTTCTGGAGCTTCAGAAATCAGTTTCCTCAGCTAACATTCTGGTCTCTCGGGTTTGTAATGAAAGTTGAGCTTTACAATGCATGATAGAATAGTTCATAGATATCCTAGTGATCACGGTATGAGATCTAGTCAGTCACTTGTTAAAGGTATCTGCATAATCTGCATAATATAGTGTGCTTTTGTAGAGAAGAAAGTTGAGTTTTATCCCTTTGCTAGTAGAATATATACAACCCCTTACTTTCGTCGAAGTCATATTTTTATTTTATTTTATTGTGTTTTTTGTTTGATTGTGATCTCTCTCTCTCTCTCTCTCTCTCTTCTTTTCCCCTTTTTCTTTGTTAGAACTTTCAGTGTTGTATAAATTTCTACTCCGTAAACAGTAGTGTTGAGCTCTTCTATAAGTTCCTCCAGTCCTCTTTCTCTGGGGTGTTTTTTGTGTTTTTGGTAGTACACTTTGGGGCCTTCTTCTGGCTGCTTAGAGCAGTCCCTCTTGTATATATCGAGGTCGATGTGCCAAGAACCCCATGGTCACCCACTGCACTTGCATGTAGAAAATGTTGGATTTTAAGGGAACCGTTGACAAGACTCAATGATGATTTTTAATGTAGTAGGCGAAGCCCTGGACACCCCGGTAAAAAAATAAAAGTTAAAATACACGGCAAAGACAGGTTACCTTGGTTTTTGACTGAAGGTATTTCAACACCATGTTTATCGAGTGCCCAAGTTTCAAAAAGATGGAAGAGGCAATCAACCCAATTGGAATTCAGGCTGAGGAAAATAGGACCAAATCCTATACAAAATTTTGGCTACATCAAGATAAGTATAGCGATCCCGGGTTTGTCCCCTTTATGTACAGTGTTCCGGTCGTAGGTTCCGTGGAGTTGGTGGTTGTTTGTCTTGTTGTCATCCTTTAGATTCCGTATGTCTGAGTTTTAGGATGTGTTAGGCGTGTTTCGAACAGGCGGGTTGAGCCTTAGTCTCTTTCCTTGTTGCCCAGAGTTTTGGTGGTACGCTCGAGCGGGTACCATTGCGCTCGAGCGGAGTTGGATTTTTAGTTGTACACTCGAGCGGACCATATCACGCTCGAGCGAAGTTTTCACACTTCCAGTATCTGTGCCTCTGCAAAACTTCTACAGATGTGTTTTTCACGCTCGAGCGGGTCTGTTAGCGCTCGAGCGGGGTGTTCATTATCTGCGAAAGTTCTGAGAGGGGATAATCTACGCTCGAGCGAACTGGTTTTCACGCTCGAGCGGATGTATTTTGTTCTTGTGTCTTGGTGCTCGAGCGGGCTTTCTTGCGCTCGAGCGGTTCCAGTTTTTGTGCTTGACGCTCGAGCGTTCTATTCTCCGCTCGAGCGGATCATGCGTTTATCAGTTGGCAGCTGTGCATTTTTTAGTCACATTTTCAACATCCTTTCTCTCTCTTACTTTTCCGAAAAATCCATTTGAGAGCTTCTCTCACTAAAACTCAACTTCTCTCTAAGTATTCATCTAGTAGGAGTGATTTCCTCACCTTTGGCCTTCACAAAAGTTGTGTTGATCATCGAGGGCTACGTTTTGATCCGAGCATGTTGAGTTTTGGAGCACTTTAGGTTTCATCATCTTCTCCCTTTGAGCTCCGAATTTGAGGTAGGGATATCCTACTCCTCTTTATGAGTTTTGTCTTTGAATTTTAGCATTTTGATATGTTGGGGGTTGTTGGGTATTTTTGAGAAAGTTTGGGTCTTTGTGTAATTTTACAAAAGATGGGGGTTTGTTATATGTAAACCTATATGCATGTTTGATAAAGAGAAATGAGGCTAATGTTGAACTATTGAGGAAAATGGAACCTTAGTGTTGTATGTAGATTATGGGTAAAGTCCTAATTACATTGATAAATTAATTTGTACAAGAAATTTAGGGAATTGAGAAATTGAATAGGAAATATTCAAATTAGAAAGATATGGGGTTAAAGGGTGTAGTTGGACTCATTTGTCGCTCACCTAGTTAAACTGTTGATAATATATCAAATTAGTGCATTTATTTCCTATTTAGAAATAACTGTACTGGACTATCGGTGGAGGATAGTCTTGATTGTTGTAGGCAATGTATGATGATTAGGCAAACTAAAGCTAATCTATTGAGTATGCTAATGAACAAGGAAATTGGTTTAATACATCAAAATGTTGTATTGATAGGTTGAATTTGTATATGATAATTGTTTATATACATTGTATTGTGTGGGAGGAGAAAGGGGCTGTACTCCACGGTTTATTGGAAGAAAGGGGCTAAACCTCTGAACCGAATCTTGTGACAGTGATACAGCACTACAATGTGTATCAGGCTGCGAATTAGAAGTGTTTTTGTTTCATTAATACAGCACTACAATGTGTATTATTTGAGACTTATGGAAGTGTTTGTTTGGATTTGATATAGCACTAAAATGTATATCATTATCATTCGTGAAATATGGAATTGTTTGTTTGATTTGATATAGCACTAAAATGTATGTCGTTGAGAAATATGAAAATGTTTTGTTTGACTTAGATATGACATCAACATGTATATCCATCACGAATTTTGAAAGTGTTCTAGTGGGGAATTATGATCTCATCAAATGATTTGGCCAGGGCACTGAGCCTTGTTTTCAAACTCTAAGTTGAATAAGAAATGGAAAGTGAATTGTAACACGGACACGAATGTCATGGAACAGTAATGTGAGGTAAACGAGTGTACAAGTGTTGACCATCTATCAACTGCTAATCTTTTAGTTATTGCTTATAGTTGGTTTAGTGTATTTCTACTGGTCTATGGCTCACCTTATATGGGACACCATTTTCAGGTACAGGAAGCATGCCATCTCCAAGGACATAGCTTGAGAGGCTAGAGGCAGGAAGACGTTTGTGGTTGTGTTATCTTTGTTGTATTACATGTAATTTCAAGCCAGGGGCTTAATCTGTATTTGAGTTAGTACTCTCCTTTTTGTAACCAAGTGTTAACTTGAAAAACTGTAAGCCCGTAGGGCATTTGCTTTTGTTGTTAACATGTAATGCTTTTGTAAAGAATTATGAATAGAATGATGTTTATCTCTTGTATCAATGCATGTCTAAATTGATGGGATTAATGTTATTATTTTGAGGGCGTTACAATAAGTATTTCCAAGATTTTGGGTCAATTGATCTTTCAACAATTTCAATTCATAGCATTACATCATTCTCTAAGAATTTTGAAATTGTGTTTGTACACAATACAATACAGTTAATAGCTTCCTATACATAGGCATCAGAACACAGTTAATAGCTTCATATACATAGGCATCAGAACGAAAAACAAAAGCATAATCAAGTGCTCAAGTCATTCTCCCAGGAGGAACTCTTCTAAAGAACATTGATTTTTTTAGCTTCTGCAACAAAGATTGTGAGCCATTTCAGGTTTACGTTTCCACTTGGAATAAAAAATCTTTAGCTTGGTGAAGGCTCATCAAGAATGAATATCATTTAAGCCAGTCTAGGTTGACATCTTCTTTAAGCACATGAAACTTCAGATTGGGGAGATGAATCTTATAATTCTCCCAGAGATAACCAGTTTCTTCATCACATATCAAATCCTCCAATTGCCTAAGATTCTTCACAGAGGATGGCAACTCTGACAATCCACGGCAACCTCTCACGTTCAGCTTTCTTAGGCTGGATAACTCCCCCATCTGTTCAGTCAATTTACTTATGCTTATGCAGTCAGATAAATCAAGAAATCTAAATTTCTGGAGTCTTCCAATTGACTCGGGCAGCTCCAAAAGTTTTGTGCAGGCATGAAGCCTTAGCACTTCTAAATTTTCTAGCTTTCCAAATGCTTCAGGAAGTGCAATGAGCTCATGACAGTTGGTGATGTCAAGCCTCTTAAGGCTGCTGATATAGCAGAGCCATGCTGGAAATTCCACTAAATCATTGCAACAGTCAATAACAATCTCCACAAGATTTGGCAACATATCGGCAATCTGGATAGTACAGTTCCCAAAAGCGTCATCAAGCTTGCACATAACCAAGGATATTTTCTGCAAATTTTTTAGTCGTAGCATGGTTTTAGCAATGGAAGAGATTGAAATATGCTCGAATCTGATTCTCCTTAGACTGGATAAATGTCCAAGTAGTGGAAAGTTGCTGATCTCAGCTGAGCAAAAACCGTAGTTGGTGACGATCAAAACCTTCAATTGGTCCATTTTCTCCATCAACAGAGGTAAGGTGTAGTTCCTTATTTGGATGTTCAGCAGTAGAACTTCAACTTTACTTAGTTGCATGTTGTGCCCGTTTGAGATTTCACCTGCAACCAATTTTCTGCACTGTGTCACTTGTCGGAAAAGAGACAAATAGCACATATTGTGCGTGAGATTATTTTAAATACTTGTAAGGCTAAATTGTTCAATTTGAAACAATGGGGACCAAAGTTAAATTTAGGTCAAACTATAGGAGTTAAAAAGTATAATTTATCCTAATTTTAAATACACAAAGATAAGCACACCTGTGGATATAGACACAAGGCGGATAGGATGCTGCCCTTGTTCAATCCACCACTTGGGAAGATCATTGCCACCGATGTCCATTATTAATCTACTCCGGTGTATGGGATTTTGGTCAATCTGGTGGGTAGCTACCTCTCTAAGTAGATCATGCTGCGTAACAAAATGCTCATTGTAGTAGCCATTGATCTCGCTTGCATCTTTCCTGTGAATGGGAATGAAATTGCATGGTTAATATCAATTCATAGGTATATACAACAATAGCAAATATATAATTCTATGATTAGTTCATTAATTGGAAGAAACAACAACAATAGCGTCCCTGCTGCAGTATGATGAGAGGCTATACCTCCCGGCACACTGGATTTAACATAGGCATTCATGCAGAGCATTATTCATCTTACTAGTAAGGGCACACACACACACACTAACATACAAGACATCTCTTAACAAAAAGCAATACCTTGTAGGTACAAGATTGAGGAGATTCCGATCAGACAGTTCATGGATGTTGGCAAAGGCACTAACTTCATCAAGGTTGTAAAGTTCCACCCACATGTCCACAAGTGCCATGGCAGGGATTCTTTGGTCCTCAGGAAATGAAGCCAGGTCCAAGTAACACTCCTTGATTTTTACATCCAAGTCATCTAAGGTGGTTTGGAGACGATTAAGTATATCAGTGGCTCCATTTGGTGCTGCGTCAGAATAGAAAATAGATTGCCCTTCAGACCACCGGTTCAGCTTATTCTTCCAGGTGACCTCAGATTCTCCTTTGAGTGATTTGCCAACCACCTCAAGGGCCAAAGGGAACCCTCCACAGCCTCTCACTATCTGCAGTTCAATGCTGCCAAACAAGTCAGCAAAGGGATGCTCTATTTGCAAGTCTTTTGACTTAATGAATTTAACATCCGTAGTTGTAAGGGGGTGATATTGAATCTCATCATCATCATGCAAATTAATATTTCTAAATAAGTTTTTCACAACTATCTATACTTATATTATATCAAAACCATATCAATACTATATATACAATTACAAGATGTTATGTGATCTTTGTGTTTCTATATTTTTAATTTTATTTAATATGAAAATATACATGTCACAATATGATTTGCTATTAAATCAATAGGTCAGAAGTGAATATTTGTTTCTGACCTTGTTAACAAGATCATCTGGTATGTAAGAGGAGCTCCCACCTTGTGGAAATGCTAAATGACAGAAAAGAGCCATGGCTTGTTCATCTTTCAACAAGGTCAATCTATATGTTGAAGAAAATCTTGGAAATACAGATCTTGATGTAATGAAGATTTTGTAATCTGATATTTGAAACTTGAACCTCTCAACAAGGAATTCGGATCCAAACCACACATCATCCAAGACTAGCAATATAGGTTGTCCTATTCGATTCAGCATGCTTTCCAATTGGTTCATTGCCTCTTCATCTGTTTGAAACTGGGGAACTTGATAACCGTTGTGTTGTAATAATCTCTCAGTTATGACCATGAGGTTAGGTGCCTTGGAAAAGGCCACAAAGAAGATATTGTCCGTGAATTTGCCTATCCAAACACACTGTTTGTCAAAAATTGTCCATTACAGATTTTGAAAAATAAATTTCTGTGTTTGTGTTTCTTTTAAAATCACAGGCTTTATGCTAGTTTAGTTTCCAAATTATATATATATATATATATAGAGAGAGAGAGAGAGAGAGAGAGAGAAATGTTAACAATATAATATACTATACACTATAGTGCATTTGTAGGCTGGCATTTGTAAGCTGTAAAGAGCTCACCCACTACCACCTTCAGCTTTGACAGACGCCTTTGTATTATTTTAATGTATATTTTCGATTCCAATTGTCTCCCTCTCCTCTCTATAAAGAGAGAGGGCTCATTCTCTTGTATTTACACAATAACATACATGAATCAATAATACAATTCTCTATTTCTCTTTATACATCAATTTTAACATGGTATCAGAGCTATAAGATTTAGGCCTATACTCCTTTCTTTCCGGCGGGCAGCCGGCCGGCAACCTTGCCTTCGCTGCCCGCTGGAGTTTTTCAACACAAACCTTGAAATTTCTTCGAGTCCACCACCTTCACGCCCAACTCCTTCGAGTCGCAGTCCTTGTCTCACCAAGCTCACCCAGCTCTCTCTTTCTGAGAAGAAGTATGGCTCAAATACATGTGAAGCTCCTCCAATAATAGCTCTCTCTCCTTCTGAAAGTTGTAGAGAGAGAAGTAAAGTAACTCCCAACTCAGTCCCCATCAACTCCAACTCAGTCCTCGTCGCCCTCCTCGACTCCCATTACACCGAGCTCGCCAAGCTCGTTGAGCAAGCCCTCCTCTTACCAACCCTCGAAGCCACAGTAAACAACCACAACATCACCATCTTCGCACCAAAAAACGCAGCTCTTGAGCGCGACCTCGACCCCGCGTTCAAACGATTCCTCCTCGCACCCGGCCATCTCTAGTGTCGGCAGTTTCACCTCGGTAGCAGTTTCTTCTTTGGTCTTTTCTTCAGCAACAATCCAGCCTCTTCTTGCTTTGGTGTAGGCATCTTTTTGAAGCTAACAAAAAAAAAAAAAAAAAAAAAACAAAACAAAACAAAACACAACAAAACAAAACCGACACACATAGAAAACCAAACCCATCTTTGGCATGCTCTTACTTTTGTTTTGATGAGATGGCTAAAATACCATTGCTGCAGCAAGCTCACCACCGCCGGTTTCCGATGGCTCTTGTCAGGAACACCGCCGATCTCATCTGTCTTCTGCCGACGCTGGCGATGGTGTTGAGTGTGGTTTTTCTCTCACTAATCTCGCCAAAGCATCTCAGATCTGCATATGATGATCTGTGAGATGAACCACTAAAAAAAAAAAAAAAAGCTCTCTCTCCCTCTCGGCATCACAGAGCTTCATACACGACACACACGGCATGCATTGGGAGATGAATACATACTCACATGCTTCTGTCTCCCACATGCACTTTATGCAGCAGCAGAGGGGAAAAGGGCAACTTTATTTATTTATTTATTTATTTCTTTCTTACTTTCTTTATTTATTTATTTTTCTTTTCATTCCTTTATTTATTTATTTGTTTGTTCATCCACCGCTCACATCCCTCACTTTCTTTAAACCCACTTTTATTTTATTCTCTACTCCACCTACCCATCATTTTTTTCCCCACTACCAAATATTATACTAGCCTTCATGGATTCCACTGGCTTCCACCACTTCGTTTTATTTATTATTATTATTATTATTATTTTCAACAAAAAAAAAAAAAAAACAAAACAAACAAAAAAAACAAAACCACCAAAAAACACACCTCATTTTATTCATCTCGGGGCTCACCCCGATCACCATTTTACATCCAAAAAAAAAAAAAAAAAAAAAAAAAAAAAAATCCATTAATTGGAAGAAACAACAGCAATAGCGTCCCTGCTGCAATATGATGAGAGGCTATACCTCCCGGCACACTGGATTTAACATAGGCATTCATGCAGAGCATTATTCATCTTACTAGTAAGAGCGCACACACACCAACATACAAGACATCTCTTAACAAAAAGCAATACCTTGTAGGTACAAGATTGAGGAGATTCCGATCAGACAGTTCATGGATGTTGGCAAAGGCACTAACTTCATCAAGGTTGTAAAGTTCCACCCACATGTCCACAAGTGCCATGGCAGGGATTCTTTGGTCCTCAGGAAATGAAGCCAGGTCCAAGTAACACTCCTTGATTTTTACATCCAAGTCATCTAAGGTGGTTTGGAGACGATTAAGTAAATCAGTGGCTCCATTTGGTGCTGCGTCAGAATAGAAAATAGATTGCCCTTCAGACCACCGGTTCAGCCTATTGTTCCAGGTGACCTCAGATTCTCCTTTGAGGGATTTGCCAACCACTTCAAGGGCCAAAGGAAACCCTCCACAGCCTCTCACTATCTGCAGTTCAATGCTGCCAAACAAGTCAGCAAAGGGATGCTCTATTTGCAAGTCTTTTGACGCAATGAATTTAACATCTGTAGTTGTGAGGGGGTGATATTGAATCTCATCATCATCATGCAAATTAATATTTCTAAATAAGTTTTTCACAACTATGTATACTTATATTATATCACAACCATATCAATACTATATATACAATTACAAGATGTTATGTGATCTTTGTGTTTCTATATTTTTAATTTTATTTAATATGAAAATATACATGTCACAATATGATTTGCTATTAAATCAATAGGTCAGAAGTGAATATTTGTTTCTGACCTTGTTAACAAGATCATCTGGTATGTAGGAGGAGCTCCCACCTTGTGGAAATGCTAAATGACAGAAAAGAGCCATGGCTTGTTCATCTTTCAACAAGGTCAATCTATATGTTGAAGAAAATCTTGGAAATACAGATCTTGATGTAATCAAGATTTTGTAATCTGATATTTGAAACTTGAACCTCTCAACAAGGAATTCGGATCCAAACCACACATCATCCAAGACTAGCAATATAGGTTGTCCTATTCGATTCAGCATGCTTTCCAATTGGTTCATTGCCTCTTCATCTGTTTGAAACTGGGGAACTTGATAACCGTTGTGTTGTAATAATCTCTCAGTTATGACCATGAGGTTAGGTGCCTTGGAAAAGGCCACAAAGAAGATATTGTCCGTGAATTTGCCTATCCAAACACACTGTTTGTCAAAAATTGTCCATTACAGATTTTGGAAAATAAATTTCTGGGTTTCTTTTAAAATCACAGGCTTTATGCTAGTTTAGTTTCCAAATTATATATCAAATATATATATATATATATATAGAGAGAGAGAGAGAGAGAGAGAGAAATATACCTTTAATTTCTTTATCACGGCAGAGCATTTTGGCCAAGGTAGACTTCCCACATCCTCCAAGGGCCGAAATGGCAACCACCTGTTCTCCACCCTCGAGCACCATTGTCTTCAATTCTTGAAGAGGATCTTCGAATCCCACAACAAAATTGGGAACTCCAGGAACTTCACAGCAACTGGCAATTCCCTTCCCATTACAACCCGATCCTCCTCCTCCGGACGTGTTCATACGTTCTAATTTCTCATCCACTCCTCTCACCCCCATCAAAATCCTCCTGCTGTCCATAGACATCTGTGCTTGCGCCTCGATCTGAAAGAACATCACGATATATTGTTCTAAGCCCTTAAGCTTATTTGTGTAGAACGATTTCTTGAAGTAATTCCACCAGGGGATCTTCTCGCATTTATTTACGAAGTGTAGACCTTTTTCCAAACTGTTGGTGAACATCTCTGTGTCTTGCTCCGATCGGCCCAATTTTCTGTTTAGGTTGTCGATTTCTTCAAGCATCGGGCTTAGCTGATTCAGCCTCGACCTAAGGCTTGTGAGGGTGGACTTGAATTGCACAGCATTAATTATCCCATTGTCAACAGCTTGCAGTAATTCCCCAAACGCAGCTCCCAAAGCAGCACCTCCAACCAGTGAACCAGCCATCGATGTCTTCCAAAACCCACTCTAGTTCCAGAGAATTGGGATTGGGTTTGGTGTTGTTATAGTGAAAGGCTATGGAACTTGCAAGTAGGCAGTTGTGAACGCGAGAGCAGTGAAGAAGTAGCGATGGAATTTGTGTGGAACTTGCAAGTGAAGCAGTTGTGAACGCGAGAGCAGTGAAGAAGTAGTGATGGAATTTGTGCCAAGTTTCTTCGATTCTTCGCGTGGAATTTGAATTCTGAAGGGGAAAAAAGGTGTGGAAAACAATGCACACCCTTTTTCAAAAAGAAATATTCGTTTCGTAGCTTTTGCAAACAGTTCCAATTCGTAGTTCAAAAGAGCGTGGCGCGAGAGTGGCTCGACACCAAAACGACCTCGTTTTGGTTTTTTTTTTTTTCGCGTTTTTCTGATGATGGGTTCATGCACTGTTGGTCAGCAGTAGACCTTTTTTCCTGAACAAGAGAAATAGCTTTATGCACTGTTGGTTCAAGAAGAAATAGCTTTATGGCAGGTGCGATGATGGGTTCATGCACTGTTGGTTCAAGAAGAAGAAGAGAAGATGACGAAGAAGGTCTGCTGCGCTGCTGACTATGAACTAGCATAAGTCACTACTGTTCACTGTCACAGGCTTTATGCTAGTTTAGTTTCCCAGTCCTCTCTCCATTGACTATGAACAGTAGTGACAGTGACCGATCAAATTCCAAAACTAAATAAAAACACAAGTGAGAATTGAACCCGACGTGAATCGAACACGCAACCTTCTGAACTGGAGTCAGACGCACCATTGCGGCACGGATCCACTTTGTTCCATTTGTGTATTCATATTCTATTTAATGATTTACTTTTGATCAGCATGACCATCCCATATGCTTTGTGCCATTGTAATACAAAAAAAATAAGATCCCAGAATTATGAGTCCGTAATTTACCTAAAATAAGTATGTGTGGTGGAAATTAAATTGATAAAATATGAAATTTATAAATGAAATAAATTTAAATCATTAATTCCTATTTTTTTGATAAATTTTGAGTAAATAATTCTGAATTTATATAGCCTTATTGATTGTAATAAGTTAGATCAATATGTACAAAAATGTTCAAGAAAATGATGCAATCAAAAGGAAGTTTCAAAATATGAATTACATCACCCACTAGTGGATGGATGATGAAACTTAGAGAGTACTCAAAATGATATCTATACTATGGACGTGGATTGTTTGATGAGAATCCCACAATAATTGTCTATTTCATGAAAGACAATTTGAAACTTCAATAATAAAAGAGAGTTCTAATATGCATAACAACTACGTCTAAGAGTGTAGCAGCGGAATCATTGTTAGTTTTTAAAATGTTAAAGTTTTCTCAAATTTGGGATTTAAAGTAACTATTCAAGTCGTCTAATGCAAAGGTAAATTTGAATGTGAGTTGTATTTATGAACATGAAATCATAAGCCCATGTCACACAATTATTATTATTTTTATTATATTTTTTGTAAAAAATGTAAACACTACAAGAAAATACACATTTGGTGACTAAATTTTTAGTCGCCAAAAGTGATTTTTTAGTCGCCAAAAGTCGGGTTTTAGGTTTTCCAGACTAAATTTTTTAGTCGCCATGTTTGTCGCTGAAAAATTGTCGCGGAAGGTATGGGCGACTAACCCACTTTTAGTGGCCAAAAACAAACTCTGTAGCGACTAAAATTTTCGTCGCCAAAGCTCATTTATATTTTTTAAATTATACATTTGGCGACTAAAGTTTTACTCGCCAATAGTGAATTTTTTTTTTAATTCATACATTTGCCGACTATTTTTTTCGTCGCCAATACTAAAGCTTTTGCCGACCACCTGTTTTAGTCGCCAAAAGCATATTTAAAAAAAAAAAAAATTTGAACCTGTGTTGCTCACAGGTTTCCCACCACCACATTCCAAACCTTTTGCCAAACACTCCCTCCACTATGCCACAGCATCATCACATTAATATATATGCAATATATATTATTTATATATATATTAACCGCTATTAATACAAAATAATATTTATAAATATAATTTTTTTAATTCGAAAATAATTTATGTAAAAAATAAATTATTTACTAAAAAAAATTTTAGGCCACTTTTGGCGACTAAAACCATTATTTAGTCGCCAATTCTATTATTTTGGGCTACTAATTATTTTTTTGTCGCTAAAAAAAGAAGTTCCAATTAAAAATCAGCAGTTTTGGCGACGAAACCTATTTTTAGTCGCCAAAAACGTCCCCTTTTGGCTACAAAACTGAATTTTAGTCGCCAATACTCAGTTTTTAGCTACTAATTTTTTTTTGTAGCCAAAAAGCTTCACTTTCAGCGACCAATCTGTTTTTAGTCGACAAAACACCTACAATAGGCGACCAATCTGCTTTTTAGTCGCCAAAACCATCACTTTTGGCTACTAAATTATTTTAGTCGCAAAAAACCGTCACTTTTGGCTACTAAACAACCTTTAGTCGCTAAAACCCCTACATTCGGCGACTAAACTGCCTTTTAGTCGCTAAAACCATTGTATTCGGCGACTTCAGTCTTTTAGTCAGCAAAAGTGTTCAATTTTGGCAACTAATTCCATTTTAGTCGCCATTTCTACTACTTTCAGCGACAAAAAATGAAATTTTGGTCGCCAAAAACGCTTTTTCTTGTAGTGAAATTCATCACAAATCTAGGAACTAACTAATTTGAATCTACAAATTTTGTCTGAATTTGCTTTTAGTTTTGGGATAAACTATCAATAGGTCCTAATAGTTGGACTTAATTCCCATCAATTCTATTGAAAATAAGTCTTGACAAAATTATTGTTAAAAATAATTTTTTTGTGACAATTTTTTTACATATGTCACTAAAAATTGACAATCAGTGATTTTTTTATCATGATTTTTATAAATTGTCGCTAAAACGTACAATTAGTGACTTTTTTTATGACAAATTTTTTTTCATATGACCTATTAAATAATAAGTCCACTTACACTACAAGAAATTAGACTTTCGCCGACCAAAATCTTAGTCGCCAAAGGTCACTTTTTAGTCGCCAAAACCAATTAGCGACTAAATTTTTTTGTCGCCAACTTAGTCACCTAAACGCTGTCGGCGAATGTTTTAGCGACTAAACGCGAGTTTGGTCGCTGAAAATGCAACATTTGGCTACTAATTTGTGTAGTCGGCAAATGTGACCCTTTGGCGACTAAAAAAATAGTCGCCGAAAAGGTAATTTTTAGCTAACAAATTATTGGTTGCCAAACGTCAACGTTTGGCTACTAAAGTTGGGTTAGTCGGCAAAAGTTATATTTTTGGCGACCAAAATATTAGTCGCCGAAAGTTGTAACAAAACTAATTTGAACTATTTAGAGACTAAAGTTTTAGTCGCTAATTGCACTATTTGCCGACCATGGCATTTAGTCGCCAAAGGATGCCAACTTTTATTCATTTTCCTACTACATTATTAGTGGCCAAAACATTTGAAAATAGTTTTTGGATACCAAAATAGTTAGTAGCCAAATACTATATTAGAAATTTTTTTTTTTTTAAATTTTTGAACCACCTATATCCATTATTAGTACAACCTATACAATGTATAAACAACAAAATCCATCAATACTAAATATATATTATCAACCATTCGACAATGTGCATGCCAAAAATTCCATTCGACATCCAATTCCATTCCATTCCACATATGTAATACAAATTCCATACGACCCAAGTATATTCCAACCTCAATAATTTAGTAATACAAAATATGTAATACAAAATATATTCCCTCCATTCGACATATGTAATACAAAATGTCAACCTGATAATCAATCCTAAAATTAGTAAATAAAATTGGAGTGTAAAATATACAATTTTGGTGCTGCATTCTTAAATATACATTCATTTCTAAGTTTCTACAAGGACCAAAGAGTTATTGTTAGGACGGCTCCCCCCACCCAACACACACACACACACACACACACACACACTACGGATGCCTGCAGTGGGAAGGGAAATAGCAGGTGCACCTCACTCTCCTGATTCTCTTCTTGTCCTTCTTCCACACCATATGGGTCCTGACCAGAGCTTGTGAAGGAGAGTACAATTCATTGTTGCTAGAGCACAGCTGAAATGAGTAAAGACAAAATGAATCCCACTGGGTTGAATTTGAAATTAGGTGATTATAAATATGATACATACACATTTATATATATTTTTGATGGTGAATTAATTTAAATAAATCACATAAAAAACTAAATGCTCAAATACTTCCGAGATACTTGCCATCAACAATCCCCATTCTGTGTTGATTCTAAATAACTTACAATCTTGCTTTCCCCAGTCATGCTAGATTCATCGATGGCAAGAGAATGACCAGAAATTATGATTCCATCTGCTGGGACCTGGGAAAAATGGAAAGGTAACAAACTATTTTTTCTCGTGTTCATAAGCAGTAATATCTACAGTTGCAACAGTTGATTCAAATATTTTCTCTCC